ACAAACAGGAGGGTGGTTCATCTTTTGTGTTTTCAGAGTCATTGAACACCTCCTGCGGTTTCTGGTTTTCTGGAAGCTTTCAGAAGTCGGCAGCTGCGCAACTGCGAATCGAGGCACGATGCTGCAGGGCTTGGGGCAGCAGTGCGGCAAGGGCCTGCGGCACCTGGTGAAGCGCTTGGCCAAGAATCTCGCCAAAGGAGACGAACAGCGGGAACCGGGGGAAGCTGCTAGCGTTTAGGGCAGATCAAGCTGGTGGCTTATGGTTTTTGTGGTTTTTGTGGTTTTTGTGGTTTTTATGTCTTTTCCCGGTTCGGGATGGTTGCAACCTTTTTTCTGGGTTTGTGGGGTCATTTGAAGTGAGAGAGTTGCCTTTGGTCGGGTGAGGTTGCTTTTGGTCAGAAATCCTGAAAGGTAGCCTCAACGTCTGCGTTAGCAAGGTTAGGCTGAGGGGGTCTGGGGCTTCGACCCCTCTGGTCCGCCCTCTCTCTGGCCCTCTCCCCCCCCCCGGCTGCGTGCCTGATTGGCAGATTTGCTCCTTTTCCGTTTTTTTCGCTTGCTTCGCTTCACACTTCGGTCCGCTTTTCGCACCGTTTTGCTCGTTAAGTCACGGTGCACCTTGTCCCTTGCTCGCTTCGTCAGTGCCCAATTTACATGATCAACAAGTACTTTCCCTTTTCGCGGAACGGAAATTGCCTCTTAACCTGTTCAAGCTGTTGAGCTCCATGCGCTCCTGAATGGTATTCGATGCAAGCCACCTTCCTTTCATTATGGGGACCACTTTACGGTATCCTACCTTTCGTGTCACCCCTTCTCAAGTCTGTTTGAGCACCCTGGGCGTGCGTTTGCTTTTGAGGAGACCTTCCTTTTTATTCCGGAAACCGCAGAGGCAACCGAAATCCAGTCTGGGCGAGTGATGAGATCCGCTTCGGGATGCCCCATGCAGGTGCCTTTGGGCTTTCAGGCTGGTGATATAGGTGGGTGGGGCTCAAGATTAAGCAGGAGGGGCAAACCGCAGGTTTCGGTCCATGTTTCCACTTGCCAGGGTTGATTTTGGCACCGGTTTTTGGAGCCACAGCCAGCTGGCCTTGGTGGTTTCGATAGAAAATCGATTGCGATGCTTGGTCGACCTGGTTGTTTCAGCTACCAATTGCTGGGATGAGCCGGGGGAGCTGTATTCGATAGAGGCCAAGGTCCGGCGAAGTGTTTGGTCAAAGGATGTTTAGAAGGAACCTGCATGGTGAGGCGGCGAATTACTAACTGAAAGTAGCCCTCTGAGACAGGATGACAAGAGAAGAATAAGCAGAAGGAGAAAGAGAAGGAGACAGAGGCAGAGAAAGATCATTTTAAAGAGAATGGGAAGAGAAAGAGCGGGATACAAAGGAAGAGAAGAGAAAGAGAAACAGAAAGAGTGAGAAGGGGAGAAGAGCCGCGCTCCAAGCTATAGTTCTTATATTCCCCCCTTCGGCCCCGCAGGCTTTGCTGGTAGCGCTATGATCGCGGTTCTCGAGTCTGTTTGATGCGATTTTTTGCCTTTGCGCTGGCCACCATGGTTGTTGAAAACGGGGCGAAAAGAGCTAGGGCGCTTTTGGGCAAATTGCTGTGACGGAGATGTAAATAAATAGTTGTAGCCCGTGATGAACGAACCCGTTGGTTGTTCAAAAGGTCAGTGATCCTCCATTCCATTCTTACGGGATCTGCCCCCTGACCAAGGTTTTCGGTAAATATCAGGAGGGGTCGTACCCCAACTGATCAAATGACACAAATCCCCTCTTCAGGCATTTCGAGTGTCCTTTGATTCTTTCTGGAATCAAGTCACGCAAGCCATGAAGTTTTCTCCAGAGGGCGTAAAGGTTTACCACAATCCTGGATAAACCTCTCCAAAATCCAAATGGGCGTGTCTCAAAGTGAGGCAACGCCTCATTTTCCCTGTAATTGTCCTTCAGCCCCCCCCGCCCGAATGAGTACCCTCAAAAAGCGCCCAAATCGCCGCACAAATCGACGCCTAGCAATGCACCCCCGAAAGCGCCCAAGGAAGATCGCCTACACCTGCGATGACAAGCTGGTGAGGTTGACCAGCGGCCTGGCTGCTCACACCCATGTTTTGCGCATCCCCTCCGTTCCCTCTAACGATAAACGCGGAGCCTTCCTCCCCCCAAAAAAATACAAAGGGTCCATTTATTAAAAGGGGGAACGGATTTGTTCACACCCAGTTACCTGACAACTAGGTTCCATGGGGCAGCAGTAGCAAATGACACACACACGTCTCTTGAGTTGCGCTCAGCCCAACTTTGCGCACATCCAGGAGTTGTCTTTTTTGGATAGTGCTCAAAAGGGTGCCAGCCATTTGTTGGGTTTTTTTTTGCTTTGGGAGGCATCCCAATGTTTGAGAAATGTTCGGATGCAATTCGGTAGCGCTGCGTCATTATAGGTACAAATGGAGCCACGGTGGTACCATGAGCCTTTGATATGAGCACCAATGATTCTTGCAGAAATCAAGCGATCCACGCATGTTCAGCATCCGCTCGCTCGATCGCTTGCCAGAATTATGTCATAATATGCTATATAGAGATGTTCGTCTTGGCCTTGACGTGCCGACTGTGCAACTGCTGTTCCCCGTCATGTTTCAGCGCAAGCAATCTCGGCGAATCATCGCAACCTGACCGGGGAGGTTGTGTTTGCATCGGTGAAGCGTCCTTTCTTGGAGTGGATTTCTCATTTCAGGCGGAGTAGTTTAGCCAGACTCAGCGGATCCCCGTAGTAGCCATCCATTTTCCATTTTGTCTCCAAAAGGGTGGCCATCCCTAATCTCTTCGTTTCCTCTACGTACAAAAAAACACTGGGAATACTGACTTCAGCCTGAAAAAGGAGTTGTTTGGTTAGTAAGGAAACAGATGAATCGCTGGCAAGACTTCATTTCACCAGCCTGAAAACGCGTCGTTTTGGGCCCTTACGGAAACGGAGTCACTGAGCCACCCGAAGAAACGGAGTCGCCCGGGACTCGCGGGCCTTGGGGTCTCGCCGACTGGGTGTCCCTCGCGGCCGGCCGAGACAGCGTGAGCAACTCCACGGCCTTGACGGTGGCGGACTTTGCGGCCCTGCCGCATTGGCCCAAAAGAGGCAACGGTCTGGCCCCATGATTCTAGCAGGAGGGGTTTCTTCGGATGGAAGTCCCGAAGTTGGCCCAAAATGGGGGGAGGATGGGGAGGTCTACTGGCCCCATGAGTCCAGCAGCAAAGGGAACCATTGTAGGGGAGGCGAAATGGAAAGCGTTATTCTACCAGTCATTTTTTTTGTCAAAGTCATGAGTCCAGTTAAAAGGAATCCGCCCTCAGGTTCCCGAATTAAGACATATGACGTGTGGGGAATTTACCCTAAAGGTACCCTGCAAAAAGTTGCCCGGGTGAGGGACAAAACTCTTGAGCAGTCCATGGAGCCAGTAACAAGCCCCTTGGTAGCCCCCTCCCTCTTTTTTGAGGGGATCCTGCTGCCCGAAATCTGCCAGATGGATTTATTCATGTACAGGTTCCATGAACAGGTGCTAGGTTGATTTATTCTCAATGTCTGGCGAAAACATACACCTTGCGCTAAACTCTGGATAAGCGGAATCTGTTTGCCAAGTCACCCCATTTTGTGCAAACTCCTGACATCGCTTTTGAACCACTCCGGACCACGACGGGTGCGCCAAACTCCTAAGTTTGTTTGGGACTCTCCTTAAACCACGGGATCAGCGTCCCAATCAATATAATTTTTGGGGACCAACCAATCTGCCAGCCTTGGGCAACAACTAGTCCTAGGAAAATAAGCCAACAACTCTACCCGAAAATCCCTTCAGTGGGACACAGAAAGAGAGTCACACGAGAGGCATGTGCTTGCCCGAAACTGGAGAAGCCACACCCAGCCGAATGACGGACCACTCACTAGCCCTGTTTATGGAGGCTGGTGTTTCTTTGAAATCAAAACAAGCCAGGGGCAAGGTCACGTCAAAGCAGGGCCAGCCCCAAGTGCCTCAGGCCTCGGAGTCGGAGTTGGCAGGGTCTTGACCCGTTCCCACGCTTTGGGATTCAGCTGATTTGGGAACCCAAACGGGAACCCAGCTAGTTGATCATTGCTTTTTTCACTCAAGTCGTGAACTGTTCGGCCGCCGGCCGATTTTGGTGGAGGGGTGTAGGCAAAGGGAGCTGTAAGACACGGGAAGGGAGAGGAGAGGGGTGGGCAATTCCGAGGCTTAGGAGCTTTTGGGTCCTCTTCGAGGGTCGACCCCCTCAAGTTTCCTGCATGCTGCCCAGGAAGCCATGGTCATGCCGCTGCAGGTAACGTCTCAAGAGGCAAAGTTGGGAGTGCTTGCGTCATTGGAGGGAGCTAACAAATTGCCCAAAGTCGCCGTCCCACTGGCCAATGATTTGGTCTCAACTAGCCTCACGGTAGATGCCCTAAGTATTGCAAGTAAACCAACCATACTCAACCGTGCAACCATGGCAAAAGTTACGGCCAATTAGAGGGTTACCTTGTTCCCTACTTACACAATTTAGACAATCCACCATATCACAAGGCAGACCGGCCTGGTCAGCTGAACCACGGGACTGGTCAGGGTGGAGCGGTAGGGGTGGGGATGGAGCTACGAATTCCGCTGCCTCGTTGCCTGTTGGGTGGCACGCCCTTCTAAATGCAGGGCAGGTGATATTCTGGAAATGGGGGAAGGTTCCCTTCGGCTGATTTTTTTTAAACGGTTACCTGAAGATTATGACAGCCCGAAATGATTTCCCTTCTGTGGTTTGCGGTTGCTCTCAAATGCACTTGAGACTAGGGATGCGGCATGTGTAAGGGCTGCAAACACCAGTGATCTGTTGGTTTCCTTTCCTTTCCGTTCCTGGGTGTGGCACATCCCGCATGTGGTCCGGACTCATCAAAGGACCAGCTGTCCACCTGACAGTGCTTTCATGATCACACATGGCCGGGTGCACTTTCGGGCAACTGCCTTCCTTGTGCAAGGCCTGTACACCATGCTGGTGGGTGGGTCCAGGGTCAACCTGAGTGTGACGGGAGCCATAACCCAATCACGAACATCAGACCAATTTTGATTCGGGTCCCTTCGGTGGACATGAGTCACATGGATTGTCAACAATCTGGCCTCCTGTGGAAGGATCCCAAAAAGGAGCCCCAATTATGACCTCGCACAAGCTCACGTGTCGCAGGCCCGCCAACCTGGAGGCTCCTTTCTTCGATTTGTTATGCTAGTAGCACCCTCTAAATCCATTTTTTCTAGACCAAGGGAATGTGAAACCCATTTGTCAGAACCCATTTGGGGAAAATTGGGGGGGGGGGGGATATATTGGGGGGTAAATTGGTGGTAAAGAGTTCCTGCTACAGGCAAGGCTTAACATTCAGGGTCACCCAAGCCTGAGGTAGTTCTGCCCCGCAGGCCGTGCACCTCCTGGAACTCTTCGTCTCGGACGAGGACGACCAGGCGCCCGAGCCCTTGGATACGCTGCAGGACCGAAGCGCTCCGGAGCGAACGGCGACCGAAGCGAAGCAACCAGTTGAAGGGCCCCTGCTGTAAAATACAGAATGTTGACCCCATATAGCTGTGGGTCAAAACCAATGGTACCATTTTGGGGTAGGTGCACCACCCATTTTAGTCTATTTCAGTGGGGATTGGACCCATGGCCACAAGAGTCAACCCCTGTTTATTAATATGAGGGTGTCCTTGGGTTTAGCGGGGAATCATCACTTTTTGAGGGGAACACACCCATTGTTTAGTACGGGGTCAAACGTTATGTTTTGTTGTTTTTTAAACGGTACCCTCCAAAAAATGAGCGGTTTCCTGTTGGTTTCCCTTTGAACCAGCCCCCCAAAAAGGGTACCCTCGAAGCAAGACACGCCATATTCCAAATTTGTCGATAGGTCGCTGAAGCATGATAGCTATTGCAAGGTAGAACCGAGCCGGACGTTTTCCCTTCACTGTGCTTTGGCAAGGTCCCTCCTTTCTTTTATCTTTTTTCCTTTGGATCAACCTGACTGAAGTGTGCATTCCTATCCCATGGCGAACGTGGCCCAAACTGAGAAGCTCGGGATCTGACGAGCTATAGTCCTTACAATCCTTCTGAAGCTGGCTAGGTCCAAGACCCAGTTGCCTAGTACAAAGGACCTAGTTACACAATCGGATTGTCTTATGCTCATGACTTAATGTTGCAGTACCCCACAACCTCATTCTTCTTGTCTGGGCCCTTACTCTGCTGCACATAAACCTGGAATCTCAAACACACATCTCATTTTCGGAGGAGTCTCTGGAATTCCCCTCCCCCCCGCATGTTAATTTGCAGATCAGGAGTTCCTTTGGCTTTTGCGGCTTCAGGCCCAGCGAGCCGCGCCCGCCGCGGCCGCGCGCGGTTTCGCTCGCTTTGGCCAGGAGCCGGCGGAGCAGTGCGAGCAGCGCCTGGACGACCTCAGGACCAAGTCCGTGCTGGCGCCGCTGGAGACCGCGGCGCCGCGGCGCGTGACAAAACAGATTTGGCGGGTCTGGGGGGAGTGCTATATGTTTGGTTCTTGTTTTTTGTTGGGAGGCTGAATTATGGCTCACCATTTAACGTTTTTTGTTCTTCTTCTCTCTTTCCTCGTTTTTGGAAGGCGGAATTTGGGGGTCACCCACATGACTCAGGCTTCTCAGTTTGGAGCTTGTATTTGCCAAGTGCAGCTTGAGCAGTTGCTTGTTGAGGCAACTTGCCCGTGTTAATATTAATATGGTTGCAAGCCTGACTCTTCTGGATGGCATGTGTTTACCTGTGTAGTAGCTCCTAGCAGGTGCATTTTGGCCCTTTGTTTGAGCATCCACATAGTCTCCATCGCCTTCCCATAAACATAGGCGCGCACACCTCACGCTAATGCCAGATTTGTGCAAAGTCCCTGAGAACTAGATGTATTTCAACTTTTACAAGGCCTTTTTTTTAGCGCAACACATGCGTCTGATTTGTGATTGCTGCTTGTCACTCGGTCAACTGCATCGCATCCGCGAGAAAGCGTTTCTTTTGCACAAGTAAAATGTATGCACATGGACTCAGGAAGTGAGTTGGAGAACATGTAACCAGCCGAGAAATCTCTAGAGGCCGAGCGGCCGCACCTTTGTCGTAGTCCATGGTCCAGTTGAAAGGGACCTGGGGCATGAGCTCTAAATGTCCACAAAAGCTGGGGGTCTTACTGAATTTACTATGTCCCTTTTGGGCACAAGTAATTTGCCTGACCGGGAATCCCGCATGTTCAAGCATCCTGCTTGGGCCACCCTATGTTGCTCAAACCCTCAGAGCCTCAGACAAATGGCTTCTCGGTCACATGACTTGTGAGGCGTTTCTTTGTGTTGCCGCTTATTTTTGTTGTTTTGACTTGAGATATTGGTGACTGCTTGCGGCAACGTTTGTTTAGTAGCGGCACTTCAAACGAACAGAAGATGGGGGGGGCTGGACAAATCAGGTCCGCATTCCTTCGCCCCGCGTCACTGATTGCTCTTGGGCCGTTGCCCTAAGGTTTCGGCGTTGTCCCACTACTGAGTGGCAGCCGTGCGCGAAATTAGTATGAGCCAATGGTAGTTTCTCATCTCACTTCGCGAAATGCAGAAGCTGTGCACAGGGTGCACAGGGTGCACAGACAGTTTCGCGGAATGAGCAGGACTCTCTTGACAGTCACAGCAATTTGGAGGCTGGTAGTTTTGCCGTTGCAGGCAAGGCATGCAACTTGATTCCGGATGCCCACACTTGCGGATGCAGATAAATCTTACTTGTAACTTGACAGGACTGGACAACCTGGCACTAGTTGTGTTTGTCTATCAAGGGCGTTGTCACAGGCCCCTCAGAGAATATTGCCCTGCCCCCATCTCTGTCTGCTGCTTGCCTCCCCGATTTGCGTACCAACAATATCTGTTTGATCATGTATGTAGCGTATGTGTCCGTATGTTTTACAGTTCGGAGACATTGGGTGCCCAACCCCAATGAAGGACATTGGGGCCGCCGTCAGCCCAGAAACGAAGAGGTAAGAGGGAGCACCAGCTTGGGTGGAACAGCAGGCCCCCCCACCACCACCCCAACCACCAACTAGTCATTATGTTGCTTTTCATTTGGCTGAGGATGGCAGTCCCAGACTTCTCATTCCCAAGACCTTGACCTTCCCGCCATGGTTTCCGCTCAACAAGGCCTTCTGGCTATACGTAGAGACAAGACGACGTGACGGGCTTGCCAAGGTCTGGTTGCAGACCTACCTGCACTCAGTTAACGATTAGTCAGGCTGCCTTTCGGTGTTTATCTGAATCACCGCTTGGTTTGCCAGGCTTCTGCGGATGCTAGGTTCGCGGAGAGAAACGTGCGCGGCACGCGCGAATCAGCTCTTGCTTGTGCCTCAAAACCCTGCATTTTTGTGAGACCATCCCCAAGAAAGCACTCCAGAGGGGCATGAACATGCACAAGGCAAGACAAAGGAAAACCGCAATGTTTGGAAATGCACGACTTGTATTTTTTGAATCCTGGCACATCATCAACCTTTGAGCGCCCTTTCAAACTAGCGAGCCACAGTCATAACCCGGTAAGATGAGGGTTAGTAAGAGATAGTCCCAACCATAAAGGGTGCAGCCGCCTGTTGATTCTTTACATTGTTTTGGGTAGACCATTCGAACACCAAGTTTTCACTATGACTCAAATGCAGGTCTTGTGAATGGACCTCAGGGAATGTGCTGGGGACCCCATCCCCATCTGACTGGTTGCTTGGTTGGAACAAGACGAGGGCCCTAGCTTTGACACGTATCAGCAAGTAGGTCTTGCAAAGATATGCAAAGATGCCAAGTGGCAGCCGCAAGCATGTTTCCGGCTTGCATGGATCGGGGAGCTAAGGGTGGAACTTACAAGAAGCGGACATGACAGAAAGCGCCGACATTTAGAGAGAAGTCATTGCGTTTGGACGCGCAAACACTGTCTTCAAAGATGTGTTCAGCACGGATACCCGAACTTGAACAAGAAGTTTATATGGTGCGTGAAGTTCGAGCATGGCAGACGTCTTTTGCCAATAATGATAGTTTCAAGCGAATACAAGTGCATCGTGACAGGACGGTTAGCTCGAACCAGTGCAGGCAGATGCAAAGTCGAGTTCCACATCTTCCCATGACAACAACTTCTTTCACGAGAGCCAGGGCAAGCCGAGCAAGGGCGGATTCATCATTGGTTTCGATTCCTGTTCCTTTTTTGGGCTCTTGGGGCCAATGGCCAATATTCTTCGCTTGTGGCATAGTCACCTTGCTGCGCATCCAAGTATCCAGGCTGTGACGCTCGTATCAAGGGAACTCCTCTGGAGATCTGGCGGGGTTCTTTGGGGAAGGAGAATGGTTGTAAGAGTACCTGATTAACACATTGGGGAACAGGACATTACTCTACTAGACGCAGCCATTCGGCTCGCTTGTTCTGAGCAGGGAATCGTGATGCACATGTCCTACGCAGAAGTCAATCAAGCGAGGGAATCTGGTGATTGAATTGGCTGTCCAACTTAGGGCCGTCAAACAGGATGGATTCCTTTTCCCGTCCCAACACCGTCCCAAACGGGCCCCTTTCCAATTTTGTTGGCTTCAAAAAGCCTCTGCTGGCCGTCCTATCTCGGCTCCTGCGCCGCGCCAAGGCTGAGGCGGACAAGACATCAGGTACGGGGTCCCAGGCATTGCGGCACAAGCGGGCCGCGGGTGTTTCTCAAAATCGGTTGGATTCCGTCAGGCAGGGGTTTCAAATGTTGGTTTCCGCCGATAGAAAAAACAATGAAATGAGAAGCATTCGTTGGGCGCAGACCTTGACCATGGCCGGTTTCCCTCCAGGAAATTGCACCTTGGTTTGGCCGCCCAAGATGAACCAGTGATTTATGCCCAGGATGTAGTGATGTTGCGGATAGGTGCTTGTGCGCTTGCCGCGCTTGGCAGTGCATGAACGCATTTCTCCAAGTACCATTTCCCCTTTTTTCCCGCGCCGTTCTGGTCATGGTTGTTGTTAGGAAACATCTTATATTTTTGCTTATTGTTGTTTAGTGGTTGAAATCCCCACTTAACTGCATTTGTTTTCTTATTATTTGTTACTCCCCTTCCAACGTCAACCAAGTGGTGGCTGGCCAAGAACACCATGCCTTCTGAGTTTTTTTGCATAGCAATGGGACCATCTGAAGTCCTGCACCAGCTGGTAGGTGGTGTAGGTCCCCCAGCTAGGTGCCCTTCTCCCCCTTTATTTTTGTTTGGGAGGGTTCCCCTACTAAAATCGACTACAGAAAAAAGGCTACCCTTCTTCTAACCTCTCTACTGGAGGACCTAGTGGTGTATCCCAGTATTCACGAAGTTTCCTCCGTCCCAGGAGCAGGAGTTTTGTCTGCACTGCTGTGTGCCAGTGTGGAAGGAAATGCTGGGCCCCCCGCTTTCGCGGCCGTTTGCTAGCATTCTCACTCAAGACTGTTTTGCCACGAACTTTAATAGGAACCCATCGCACACATGGTTGACGGACATGAGTTCCCACCTAAATGAGGCCTACGAAGGACTTTGTAATTAAAATGTAATTATGCGCAATATGCTGTTCCCGTGGTTTCCCTTTAAACCAACCATGAAAAGAGCACGCACAAAACAAGACAGGCCCAATTGATTATTTACAAACGTGACGCCTCGAAATGGATTCTGCTGTTGAAGGCATGCCAGACTTGTTTTGCCTTTTGGAATATATTTTTGTTCGGCTTGTTTGTGTTTCAGTATTGCTTTCAACCAAGAAGTTCAACCCGTCGTGCTGATTTGACTCTGGCCCAGAAACATGACAGTAGACCGGGTCCATGTAAAAACTGATTTTGTCGCAGTCATGATTCTTGCACGGAGGATAGGCGCCCTTTGCACAGTCAGTATTGTTTTCCTCGAACATCAATTCACTGGTTGCTGGTGCCAGTTTGCTTCAAAGCATTTGCCAGTTTCGTCGATGTTGCAAGTAGCTAGCCTCTGGCACGTGTGTTCTCCCAGGCAAGACCCAGGACGAGGCGGGCTGCGCACAAAGAGCTTTGTGAGATCCAAACTGACGACACGGACATGATGACTGGCTTCCATTTGCCTAAGAAGATTATTCATTTTCCCCTGTTGGTTTTGATCTGAATCTATCACTACTGGATATTGTTTTTCCAGGGGGCTCAAGCAAATGGAGGCTGGGTGGTCTGGGGAAGGGCGAATCGATTTGTTTGAGTCCGTGTCTCCAATGTTTCAAGCTTACAGGACCTGAACTTGAAGGGATACTCCTCGTACGGAGAGCAGTTTCTCGTCATTGCTTCAGGCTTCGCCGCCGAGTGTTTTTTTTATTTAGGGGACTGCTTGGTTTTGTGCTCGAGCACACCTGCGTCCAAAATGTCCACTTCTTTGTGGCATTTTGCTTGGATGTTAGGACTTTAACTGTTTGCCAACTAATGGGTTTTGCATTAAACCACGAAAAGTAAACTTTGTGCGGGGGAGCAGCAAGCAACCGAGACTTGTTGGCCGTTCGGGCCTGTTTGTTCTTTGCTCGTCACTTCGAAGATGGAAGGCGTTGCTTCAGGCCGAAGGACGCATATGCGTCGC